GCGTGGGTTTCTATAGCCAGTGATGGTTTTCAGGCTCCCCCACACAGACAAGGGGTCGTTGGCTGAAACCTGAGCTTTCAGTTTTTAAGAATAGCTCCTCTTTGCTGCTCTGATCTCCCTTGTCAGTGTGTTCCTTGCCTGGCTGTACAGAGTCCTGTCCCCACATCTGTAAGCCTCCTCTTTGGCATGACGAGGCTGCTTGAGTCTTGCTGTAAACCAGGGCTTGTTGTTGTTGTTGTTGTTGTTGTATGTACAGAAGGTCTTTTTGGGCACACACACATCCTCACAGAAACTGATATAAGATGTCACAGTGTCAGTGAGTTTGTCCAGGTCTGTAGCTGTATTTGGGCAGTTCATGGGTGAGATTTGCTCTGTTCAAGTCCCGTAGAACAATGAGTGGAGAGTCAGGATGTTCTAGGTCCAGGCTAGTTAACTGTTCTGCCAGGAGCCATAGCGTGCTAGCATTAGCCTGCGGTGTTATGTACACTCCCATTAGCATGAAACTACTGAATTTACGAGGAGAGTAAAAGGGTTTGTAATTGATAACAAGAGACTCTAGGTCTGCGGTACATGTCCTCTGTAGCACTGTGACATCTGTGCACCAATCTTCATTTATGTAGAAGCAGATTCCACCTTTTCTCGTTTTCCCGGATAGCTCCTTTACACGATCTGCTCTGTACACATGGAAGCCCGGTACTTGAATCGTGCTGTCTGCGATGGAGTTGCTGAGCCAGGTCTCCGTGAAGCACAAAGCAACAGAGCGTGCAAAGTCAGACTTAGTCCTGCTGACGAGGAGAATTTCATCTATTTTGTTGACCAGGGAGCGGAGATTAGCCAGGTGAATAGATGGGAGTGAAGTACATGTTCCCCTCTGTCGTAACCACACCAAGGCGCCAGCGTGTTTTTCACGTCGCCGACATTTTTTCCAGGTTCCGTATATTGCTGCTGCGCCTCCGATCAGAATGTCCATACATCATTCTTCGTTCACAAAAATCGAAGGAAGGTAGTTTGGTGTGAGTTGTCCGATATTTAACAGTTGTTCTATGGTAAAGGTAATCTGGGATGAGTTGCAAAAGACCAAAAAAAACAAAGAAAAACAACAAACACAAGAGAGCGCAAGTAACCACACCCGCCATTGCTGTCGGCACTGGACAGGGAGGGGCTCATTTTGACCAGGACGATGAAATTGGTATGGTATAAAGGCCCTTTCCAAGTCTTGACCACAATGACAAAAAACTAATGCAGAGGGAAGACTAATCCTAACATTTGTTTATTGTAATATGAATAATGGCAAATAACTAATAGTTACTGTGAGATATACATATGAGATATGCAAACTTTGCATGGGACAATTAAAAGGTAAGGCTGCTCATTTTCTATATTAACAATATTTTCAACAATGACTAAATTGCATCTAGTCACTGTTAATATCTGTTAGTCCCTTGGCTCCAGATAAATTTGTGCCATAGACCTCCACTGTTGTTCAAAAATAATTACACTCAAAACACACTCCTGCACTGGGAGACATGTTTCCACATTATGAAACACCAAATCCTGATATTTGGTAAGAATATCCAGAGATCTTGTACATGCACAGCTGACTCTTGTTTACTTCAGATGCTATAGAAGGTCATGGCTGTTCAGAGTCTTTTGTCAGCATTTTTAATTAATACTGGGGTATAGATTTTGTAATGAGGAAACAAGTCACCCAGTGCAGTGGTGTGTTTCACTGTGTTTTTAATCGTTTCTGAATGGTCTATGGCACAGGTGAATAAGCTAATTCAGTTGTTAGAAATTAATAAATTAGTCAGATAATTATTAGACTTTAATGTGTTATTAATGCAGTTTAGTAAGATTCAAAGTCTGTTCCTGTGTGCTCTGCTTCAAGGTTAGAAGATAATGTTGACTCTGAGAAGGGTACCTTGACACCAGTTATTCTTGTATTAATCTTGTGTAAGAATTATGCCTGAATGACTGTTTTACTTACACATCACGCATACAACATACACACACACATGGAATTCTTCATTTTGTTATGACTTGTGCTCGATGCATGCAGAGCATAAGATATGAGAAGGAGACGTCTGACTGTCTCCAACTCTTGATATTTTTACAGCTGTCTGTGTAAGGGGTTAGCCCAAAACCCTATAAATGTATTAGGCTCTGTATTTCCGGGGTCTCCTTTCTTCCAGCAGTAGTCTGGAGCAGGAGCTACCTGGGTTTGTGTTTCTGTTGTGGCTTTCAAAATAAATCAGCACTAAGTTAAAGCAAGTCGGACTCCGTCTTCATTCAGATCTGTTCAATAAACGAACTAGGCTATAACAACTTGGTGCCGTGACCTTCGGAATTGGCTGAATTCTGAGTGGACGGTCCAAACCGGCTCACTGGATTCCACGTCGTGAGTGAACGGACTGCACAGATCAACATTAAATAAGGTAAGCAGGAAACCTATTTACACATAAATCCTGCACATTGGACTTTACCAAATTTAGTTGATCTGTGTGGACTGTGAAGTCTCGATCTAAATTTGAATGATTACAGTAAGGATAAAATAACACTTTTATTTTGAAATGTGCTGTTTTGTTTGTGCCACATCTTAAAGTTACAAGCACATTGTCTCATTTGAGGGATAGAAAATAAGTGCCCTAGTTAGAAATTGATGACTATCAGAGACGTAAAATTCACATTAATAAAGTGGATAACCACAAATTGAGACTATCACAGTGCAGGTGCATTTATACGGAGACTTGATTACACACAGGTGGATTCTATTTATCATCATTAGTCATTTAGGTCAACATTGGATCATTCAGAGATCCTCACTGAACTTCTGGAGAGAGTTTGTTTCTGCTTCTTCACATCTTACCATAAATTTTGCACGCCCAATTTTTCAGTTTTTTATTTGTTAAAAAAGTTTGAAATATCCAATAAATTCCGTTCCACTTCATGATTGTGTCCCACTTGTTGATTCTTCACAAAAAATTACAGTTTTATATCTTTATGTTTGAAGCCTGAAATGTGGCAAAAGGTCACAAAGTTCAAGGGGGCCGAATACTTCCGCAAGGCACTGTAGAAACGTCAACCGATGGAGAATTTCAAATGTTTTCAGTCTCCTTCAGCCAGTTCAAGCAAGTCACAGAAAATGGTTGATGTTAATTCTCCCGTGGCACAGCTGTTTCAGTCCAAGCTGTCTCTGATAGAGATTGTAAAGTGCAGTTTAGTCACACGCAGCCGTCTTCCTCACAGCCTCCACGAGGAGAGAGGAAGCCAATATTGAAGAGTGGCTTACAGATGCCACAAAGTGCAAACACAGGGTATGGCGCCCCTGGTGGTTGTACAGGGAGGGATTCTACACACAACCCCATTTCCAGGAGGTAAAACTGATAGAATTAGAGCGCAGACTATCAATGATTGTTTTGATATTCCTTCACACCAGCTGCCGTTGCTACAGTCCATATCACCTCAGGGAGGGATAACACAGACTTATACTCCCTTTAGTCTCCAAGATATGTGCATGGTTAAATCTCAGCTGCCTGACATTGAGAAAGGAGGTGCACCGTGGATTAAGGCATTTTTAGGTGCGTGTGCAGGATTTGTGCCTGCACTTGGAGATTTTCGTCATGTTTTTACAGCCTGTACTTCTCTGAGCATGTTACGGGAGATAGAATTAATGGCAAATACTATCAGGGATCATAATAATGTTGCTCTCCACACTGAAGTTCATCAGCTCTGGCCGGTGATATGCCAGAAATTCCCAGTACAGGTGTGCTCTGTTGAGCTGTGTAGAATTCCACCTCAAGAGGGTGAGAAAGGCAGTCAGTATTTGCTCAAAATGCGTGAACTCTGGCAGAACCACACTGGTGAAGACCCAGCCATCAGTGACACCGTGGGGGTGCTATTTCGCAGTGCTGTGGAGGCTTCCCTCCCAGCATCCATACAGCATCTGCTGAGACAGGTAGTGGGACTCTCCACATTTGCTTTAGAGCAGTGGTCAGCTTATGTCACTCAGTATATTGACAATGAGCTGGAAACACAAGAAAAGAATCCAAAGGAGCTTTCTTCTCTGCAGGCACAGGTAGCTAAAGCACAGTTGAAGGAAATGCAAGACAAGGTCAATCAAAATAAAGCTACATGCTGTTTAGACATTTTCCACGTTTTTGTCTGAAAAATGCTTTCTTCCAGCAGTAGTCTGGAGCAGGAGCCACCCGGGTTTGTGTTTCTGTAACTTTTTATTGTGGCTTTCAAAATAAATCAGCACTAAAATGAAGCAAGTCGGACACTGTCTTCATTCAGATCTGTTCAATAAAAGAACTGAGAAATAACACAGTTCTGACAGACATTAACAGTGAGTACAGGCAAATCACTGTTGGTTTTATTCTTTGTGTTAGGATTGTTGAAAATGCTGTTAATACAGAAAATTACTAAACCTATCCTTTAAGCAATGCTGGATTATGTATTTGAAGCCTGATCTCAACAAGGCAGTTGGCAGTACATAGTATGTAAATGTGCCAAAGGATGCGGGAACACACCTGTGTTAGCTCAGTATTCAAGATTATGTTTGCCCCATCATTTGACTCCAAATAGGGGGATATCAGTCCATGCTGTTAACAAGCAGCAATATTTTCCAACCCTAGCTTATCCTAAAATGTGCAGCCCATCAATTCATAGACTCAATTACATGGGCTGTTCTGTTGACTAAAATCCACTGGTATGGTTAAATATACTCCAGTCACACTGACGACTCGCATGTTGACATTTGGCACATGTTTTATGCTGGATGCCCTTCCTGACGCAACCCTGATTCAAACCCGAACCACTAGCCTACCAGGGACGGCTAACTTAATTACGGACTATAAATTTTAAATATTGCATTCAGTAAGATTTGAATTTTGTCTGTTATTGCAGATTGTCAACAGCTTTCTTTAATTCTAGACACCTAATGCATAATGCAAGTCCCATGTACAGTACAGTATACACTGTCAGCAGACAGTCAGATTAGGTGTCGTAGTGGAATACATACATAGAGCTGGTAGCTGAAGGTGAGCAGCAGCTGGACACTGTACACCTGTTCCTCAGGCTTTAGAGGTAGCTGCAGCTGAAAAATCAGGAGGTCCAACTTCCCATCCTGGTTCTGGTCCTCTTCTCTCACCTGTAGTTTGTTCCCCACACAGAAAACAACACTGTAGTCTGAAGAACTGACAACTAAATACACTGTGCTATTAATGACAATGACAAGTCAGCTCTCCGCCTGCCACAGTATTGTGACAATGTTAAAACAACAGTATCTACTGTGTTTATTATTTAACTACACACAGACCTATGGGGACACAGGCTACACTGGTGTAGAGTGCATTGCAGGGAATTGGAGTGAATCTCTTCTTACAGAAACAGTGGGGATCCGGAGGTTGGCCCCAAGCATGTTGTTAAGATGTGGGAAGGTGCTCCAGGCTATGTAGTCTCCCAAGGTACTGGTTGCTGCCACCAGCAGAGTCTGGTACTGGAACCTCACAACTGGCTGTTCCTCATAGGTGCTTCTTTTTACCCAGAAACCTGAAATCACAGCGACTATTTCTGACGTTACCCTTTAAAAACACGGGGGTTTATAACTTTAGGGACTGCTATTAGGCTTCTCATTTAAAGACAGAAACAAAACGGCGCTTTGTGTTTGGCATTACAGTGTACCTTGGCTCCTATAGGCAAACAGCAGAGGTGGGATGTAAGTAAGGCACAGAACAATAACAAGAAAGAGAGTGGCTTTCGTGCAAACACTTGTCTTGTACCGAATCAAAGCCGGGTGAGAATAGACTTCATAGAAAGCCATGGGTAACAACTTAAACAGCGATCGTTCAGTGTAGTATCACCCCGGGGCTAGCTAGACAATGTTCAAGATAGCATAGATGCTAATTAAGTAGATGCGTCCTGAGGATTAACGTGAATAAACGCTCACAAACAACGAAGTGCTAAGTGAACACAGGCTAAATCACGCTAAGTAATATCTATCTATCAGCTTTCGAAATGAAACCGCCATTGATAGCGTATTCTTGGCAAAACGCATTGTTTTATCATGGTGTTTACAGCGCTTAGCCTGCTAGCTAAGTACCATGTACTGCGCCATGTTTCCGCTCAGTTCAGCGTCTCGCCGTCACCATGGCTGCCAGCGGTGGATGACGTGCTGCATTGACGTAACAACGTCGGAGCAACGGAAAGAAGTGAACAGTCCATGCTGGGGGTGGGTGGGCTCTTTGAGGATGGAGGCAGCCTTCCTAAATGTTCTGCAGAGAGGGCAGTGGAGTCCTAGTGATCTTCTCCGCAGTCTTTACCACTCTCTGCAGGCGCTTGCGGTCCATAGCAGTAGTGCTG